TGATTCAATTTTAGAGGTATTTTATCTCCATTTCTTATAGCATTTCAATTCACAAGTTTCCAATTTTCGATTTAAAATGTCTTTGCCCCAGGCATCACTGTCAAGTACCTAATGATCTGTCACAAATGCTTACACAGATTCAGATTCTTAAGAGCTGGAAGGGTCCTTAGAGATCAGTCTAGTCTAAATGTTTATTTTACAGATAAAGAATCTGAGACCCAGAGAAGCTAAGTAACTTCCCCAAGCTTGAACAGCTAATTAATTAGTGACAAAGCTAGGTCTTGAACACAGGTCTCCTGATTCCTCATCTAGAGTTCTTCTGACTATTCCTGGCTGCCCCATTTGTGTCTGTGTATAATACAAGCGCGTGTGTCACTCAACAAATATTTCTAAGGAGTTACTATGTGCCAAGCACTGTGGTAAACACAGGGTGTACAAAGAAAGGCAAAAATTATAGATGGTAATTAGTTACTATATAAAGGAATCTATCAGAGATGCTTTTGTAAATAAAACATTTTTAAATCATTTCCAATTTTTCCATTATGTAAATTCCAATTGATTGTCTTAGTTTCTTTAAATGGATCACCCCAGTATTTGAATAAAAAGGATTATTTTTCAGGACTCTATTTAAATTGACTGCCTACATATATTCTAGCTAAATTTAAATTCTAATATATGTTCTGTGTTTCTAATTTTTTAGAAAGAATTTCTTTGTAAAGCTCGAAAATAAAGGTATATAGGCTTAGATTCTTAAAATCTTGCCAACAGCTTACTAATGTTCAAACTCCTTAAGAGTCGACCCAATAAGATTGATGTTCTAATATACTTTGTCTTTGGCTGAAAAAAAAAGGTATATAATAAAACATGCACTATAATAACAATAACAATGTAATAACACTGTTTGAATTGCTTGATAGCTTTAGTGCAAGAAAATCCCACGTTTTTGTGTCTAATTGTAGAATGTACACTCCTTAGAAAAAGCTCCTTAATACATCACGTATATGTGGGCATTTTACTAACAGGATGAATTATTCCCTCTCTTATGTATATCATCATTTTGGAAAAGCTGCCTACCATATGTATATATTAGTCTCTGAAAGAATGCTGAGCTGATACAGGTAGAATCATGCATACGATCTTCAAACTCAATCCAACCAGGTTATGAATAAGGAGAGCTGTTGCATCATAATGTCATGTAATACTTTGTAACATGAAAGTCTCATATACCTCGATTCTGTGCCCCACTGAATCCATGCCTTCTCTGGACAAATACCAATTACCAGTGTATGGTCACCAGCACACACTTCTTGAGCAGAACTTTCATACTATGAGCTCTCTGGTGCTACCTACATCATATGATTTCAGAATTTCCCTGAGTCGGAAAATATTTATGCCAACATTCTCCTATCTGTATGATTCTGGGACGATCACATAACGTTCCAATACCCTGAGTAGCAATCTACAACTCTAAGTTAGAGCTGCTTTGAAGTGAGGGAACAGTTTTCAACATCAGATGTCCTCTAGATGGATAAAATCAGAGCCAGACCAAAATAAAATGCACATCACACATGCTGTTGTACGTTGCTTAGCTGCAATACACAGGCAACCTAGAAGAGAAGAAACATCTGACCAAGCCTGAGGACAACTTAAAATCCAAACCTCGGTTCACCAAATTTAGAGGCTTCCTGTTGCTGTACAGATCTAGACCTGAGGAAATCATAGAATTTTGGGCATAGTGAAGTATGTATATGAATATAACCCAGAACCTTCTAATGTCCAGTGTTGCTGGCCTCCCAGAATGGGACTGAAACATTTCCAACAGAGAAATAGAGAAATTCACTTAAATCACTTATGTCAACTAATATTCAGTTCAGTCTTGATAATATGATTTAATTTACGTGCTCATATAATACAAAAGAGTGGTTTCAAGAGGAAACAAAATCTCTGGCATTTCTATGGTGATCTGGTAAGATTCACTGAGTGTAGACTACAACAAGTATTTGACAAAGTGCGAGGACATTCTTAAAATACAAACTAGCTGTCTCCAAACTTAAAAGGTTCATGCTATGGTAGAATAATGCCCCCCTCTTTTTTCTTTTATAAAAATCATTTCAGGACAGATATAGTTTATAACTAAGCTGTATACAGCAGGATATGGATGATATACATTCTGAGGGATCTGGATCAACCAATCATCACTCAATCAGTAAGACTTAGTATGTACCTACTACATGCCAGGGGCTGCTCTAGGTGCTAGGGACAGAAATACAAATAACGAAACAATCCTTATTCTGATTGGGAGCTTGCAATGTAACAAGCAGTTGTGTATGAGGGGGTATGCGTGTGCATTTGTATCTACGCACACACATACACTCTCTAATAACAAGCAGCATTTCTATAGTGTTTTTAAGATTTTTCAAAGTGTTGTACATGTCATCTTATTTTATCTTTACAATAACCCTGTGAGATATGCACTAGTATGATTCTCATTTTACACATGAGGAAATTGAGGCTGAAGAGAGATTAAAAGGCTCGTCCAGGATCACAGAACTAGTAAGTGACCAAGACAGATTTAAACTCAGGTCTTCCAGATTCCAAGTCCAACACTCTCTCCACTGAATTATCAAGTTGCCTACACACAAACACACACACACACACACACACACACACACACACATAGAGAATAAACACAAGATAGTTTGGGAAGAAGAATGCCAATGGTTGGGGGTGAATCAAGAAAGGCTCCCTGTAAAAGACGGTACATAAGCTGCAGCTTGAAAGAAGAGAATTACCATACAAGGCAGAGATGAGGAGGGAGGACATTCCATGCATAGCAGACAGCTAATGAAAAGTCTCAAAGTCAGGCAATGGAGCGTCAAGTGTGAGGAACAGAGAGAAGGCCATTCTAGCTGGATCACGGAAAGCTGGAGGCTGAGTTAATACATAATACTGAGTCTCCGATTTCAATATTTCTAATATGGAAACTCCCTCCTACAATTCAGATCAGTAACTTATCTATCAACTTCCTGTCTTAAGGGAGCTGCCTATAGCACTAAGAAATTAAACCATATGCTCAAGGCCACAAAGATAATACATATCAGGGGTTGGACCTGAATACTGCTCGTCCTATCTCCAAAGTCAACCCTTCATCTACTCTAGAGACCTTGCTAGGTCTCGATGTGTATCTACATATAAATGTATTCACACATTTACTATATATACAGCATATATAGGACACACATATTCAAAGCCTCCATTACAAAAAAGCTGGGCCAGACAACTTCCTTCGTGAATTGGTTATCTGGAGCTCAGAAAGAATCTCTCCTCACAAAGAATGTTATAAAGTGTTTCCCAGTCCTGCTGAAATACCATAGAGCGACAATGAAAAAGTATGAATAAAATAACAGTGTTTGAAGTACCTGTGACTCAGAGTTTTAAAAATTAAATGAGAAATACCTATTCATGCAGCTTGAATTTTTATAAAAAAAAATTATTAGAAGAGATTCATTTACTCAGTTCAAGACAGGAAAGGAAATGTAAACTTGTGGAAGCTCTGAAAGGGACTTTCAGTGACTTTTAGTGTCTTTAAAGATTGATGACACCAGTTCTTTATTATGTCCAATTTCACTTCGAAATGTAAGCTACTCCTTTTCTCTAAATCATATTCTGAGCAGTGTTATTGTGGAAAGCAGTTGGGGTTAGGTGGGAAACCTGTGGCCTTGAGGAAACATGTGGCCCTCTAGGTCCTCAAGCCAGACCCTTTGACTGAATCCAAACATATATATATATACATATATACCCACACACATATATATACATATATATATACACATACACACACACATATATATATATATATATATATATATTTTATATATTTTATATATATACATATAATGTATATATACACACACACATATATATATATATGTGTTTGGTCTGAGGCCGAATTTGAACTCAGGTCCTCCTGACTTCAGGGCTGGTGCTCTGTCCACTATGCCACCTAGCTGCCCCCCAAAAAATTACAACTTAAGTATTTTTTTTTTGGCAATTGGGGTAAACTGACTCACCCAGGGTCACACAGCTAGTAAGTGTCAAGTGTGATCTGAGGCCAGATTTGAACTCAGATCCTCCAGACTTCAGGGCTGGTGCTCTATCCACTGTGCCACCTAGCTGCCCCAATATAAATATACACACACAAACACATCCACACACACACATCCACACACATACATATACACACACACACACACACACACACACACACACACACACACACATATATGTTCGTGTATACTCTTTAATACCCTTCTCATACATACTCACATGTACATATAACGCATGTCAGTCAGACTGCCTGGGACAGAATTATCTAAGCTCCCAACAATGATAGAGGAAAAGCAGGTTTTCAGAATCCCAAGAAAGAAGGAGGTAGGGAATAGTTCTTTGCATTGGCCCCAAGACAGTGTAATTAGCTAGTACATAACAGCATTTTTGCCTTACAGACCACAGGAAAGATAAGAGAGGGTCAACAGAGTGAGAGTAGGTGATGGTACCCTGCAGAGCACCATTTCTCTGCTCCCATATGTACATAGATATGCTTCCCTGTGCTCCAGCTTGTATTTTCAATTTTCTTTTAATAAGATCTGGTTCTTTCCAGGTGTGAATGGTATAGATTATCAGTTAAAACTAACACCACATATATTCAACAATAGTAGAGAAGCCCCCAGAGATCTTAGCTACAGCTCTGAAGCAAAATGAGAAAAGACATTTGAAATAGCATCAACTCATACGATGTCTCGTCGGGAGGTTACTGTCACACTTTATCTCCATGACAGGCCAGAGTTTTTATACTTAGTAAATGTTTTATTTTAAACTGCTAATATAACAATGCAAAACAAATTCTACCAGAATATAAACTAGCAACATCTTGCCATATCCTCACATCTTAGGAGTACATTACAAAGTAAGAAGGGTAAAAATAACAGAGATTTTCCTACCATTGAGTAAAGAACACAACCAAATCTTCTTGGTCAGCATAACTTCCCATGGCTTCTTTCAGTAATCTCACTTTCTGGCCTCCACCAATACTGTTTGCCTTGTCCCCACCTCTCCATTCTTCTCCTTTACCAAGGACCTGTAAAAAAAATCAACATGACTGCTGAACTACAACCAAAAAAAGAAAAAAAAACATTTGTAAAAGAAATTCAAATTATGTATAATCGATAATCCTAGTAAAAAGAAAAAAAGAAATTTCTATTCCTTGACATCAATCTCTGAAGTCTTACTAAAAAAAAGACATTTCCATTTAAATATTAGTATATTAATAAAATATTGTAGTGTAATTAAGTATGTAATAATTACCAAAAAAAAAAAAGAATAATGAAGGTGAAGTGAAGGATACAGAAATGTCTGGGAATGCATTCATGATTTCTGAATGGGGTGGAGAAAACAGAACCAAAAGCCTAGAGCAGATATAGTATGACAATCTAAGAAGAAAAGTGAATGAGGATGAATGGAAAAAATGAAGAATCTTGCTAAGAATGCAAAAGAAATGACTGAAAAAATTCTTAGGATCTTTTGGCTATTTCAATTAATATTTACCAAGCCAAATTTAGTTGACTATATTGATTGATTTATTTTAAAATATAACATTTAATTTTTAAAGACCATTCACAAAAACATTTTGAGGAAAAAAGAAAACTTTTAAAAGTGAAAAGAAATAAAGATTATTTTCTATCATAGATAGACATTAGTACAAAGTGTAAAAAAGAAAATGCATAAATTAAAAAAAAAACTTTGACCATATTTTCTTCAATTAGATACAGAATCTGGATAAATGCAAAGCAACTTTTAGGCCTTAAGCTATTTTCCTGCTGACCAAAAATGGATCGCTCAGGTTATAATTGAGGCCATCAAACAAAATTCCACCCTTCTCTCTTTATAAATCTTAACCACAGCTTCTACAACCTTCAAAAGCTTAGTGAAATTCTATTGTCTTAAGGGAATTGCTTGGCCAAGAGAAATCAACACTTCCTGCTGGCTCTGTCTGTCCTCAGCTTCATTAATTGACCAGATTTCTGCTTTGGAAGAAAATACAGCTGCCACAAAGGGAAGGAATAAGCCCCTAAATGGGCTGATCAAGGGGAAAAAGAAAAAAAAAATCCCCCAAGTTTAACATAAACTGGCTAATATTTTTTTTTATGGAAATGGGGACAGAAAACCTGTTATTTGTTCATTTATCTTCCCAAGTGCCTTGTTTTATACAATGGATAATTAATGAATAGCTGGTGAGTGAACCAGGGAATAGATCCTAGTAAATAAATAATGAGGAAATAAACAAAATGCACCATAACTGGAACAATAATAGGAACAAAGGTTCCCACAGAACAAAGACTCGGCCTCTAGCTTCGGTGGATGTCTGGACACCCTCTAACTAGCAGTTAACCTACAGGGTTGCTTTTCTTCACCTTCACTTCAATAATATTTATAGTACACACTGCTGAATAAATCTTCAGTTCATAGCCCAGGGTGAATATGAGCACCACTGCCAAGTCTGGTGGAATCCTTGGGCCCCCAAAATCCCCTCTCTTTGACTTATTCCTTTGTACTTACCTACTCTCCCCACCTAGTAACCCCCATTTAATTCTGGGAAGCAACATAATAAAATGGAAAAAAGTGACTCATTTGGAATCAGAAAAACAAGCTAACTTCCCAGATCAGTCATTTATGAACTGGATGAGCTGAAGGAAGTCCCTCGACTTTTCTGGGCTTCTGGTGGTGCAGGGGATAGAGCGCCAGGCCTGGAGTCAGGAAGACCCAAGTTCAAATCCAGGCTCAGACACTTACTAGCTGTGTGACCCTGGGGAAATCACTTAACCCTGCTCATCTCAGTTTCCTCATCTGTAAAATGAGCTGGAGAAGGAAATGGCAAACTACTCCAGTATCTCTGCCAAGAAAATCCCAGATGAGGTCATGAAGAGTTGGACACAATTGTACAACAACAAAAATAAAGGCATTGAGTTAGAAGACCTCTAAACGTCCCTTGCTTCTCTAATCTATGCTTCTAAGTTAATGGGATAAGTAGAATTGGAATCTAGGTTTCCTAAATCTTGAGATGGTGCTTTTTTCACTAGATGACACTTTTCCCAGCTCATATCATTAGCATCAATTATTCAACTAGTTGTATTGGATTATTTGGAATGCAGAAAGCATCTCCCAAAAGAACCAGTTGCAAAATGGTTAGCAGACTAGCCTACAAATGTTTGTCTACTTAGTTCACAGTGTAACTAAAATACTGTATAACCCAAGGGAAAATGTGACTCCAACCTAATTCAGCATTGGGAAACACACAAAGTAGACAAATTGCTAAAAAAATAAAAATAAAGAAAGGATGCAAAGTGGGTGGGTTATTGAGTGACGGTTTTGTGCTAAAAAGTTTGTGCTGTTAAAATGAACCAGCTTAGGAGAAGAAACCACAGCTATGGGAAAGAAGGGGATCCTGAGAGTCTAAATCATCAGCTTTGGAGAACCCACATCATTAGCTTAAGAGAACTGAGGAAATTTGGGGCAAAAAAAAATGTAAAAATAATGTCCATTTCCATGAGGTAGGGGCCCTAAACTTTTGCAAATATTTACTTTAGTGTAGAGACAATGTATCACCTTATAAGAGGGAAGTACATAATATTATAATATTATAATCTGTGTAGGTGTATAAATATTTTGTTCAGTCATTTCAGCTTCATAACCCCACTTAGGATTTTCTTGGCCGAGATACTGGAGTGGTTTACCATTTCTTTCTCCAGCTCATTTTACAGATGAAGAAACTGAGGCAAAGAAGGATAAATGACTTGCCCAAGGTCACATAGCTATTAAGTGTCAGAGGCTGGATTTGAATTCAGGTCTTCCTGACTCCAAGCCCAGCACTCTATCCACTATGCCACCTAGCTGCCCTGCACCACTCAGCTACCCAATAAAAATACATACAGACATGTAGAGAGGTAAAGGGGCGTAGTGGATAGAAAACTTGCTTCAAAGGAAGTAAGACCTGGGTTCAAGGCCTGTCTTTGTTGTTGTTCATCCTTCATATTCAAAGAGGACCATGACATCGAGGAGGCGATGCCATGACATGCAAGCGAATTGGCCTTAAGTGAGGGAGGGCTGGCTGTGCAGAGCCACCAGCCACATACAGGTCATATGACCCTGGATAAATCACTTAAATTCCAAGAGCCTGAGGCAGCTTTCTCTAAGACTCTAAACTGCAGAGAAAGCGATGACCTGCACTTATGGAAGGAGTTTCCCTAACCTAGGAGCTCCCTATACCAGTAAAATTACAGGTTCAATTCCTATCAGTCCTATATACATGTATACATATGTACATATATATATATACACATATACACATACACACACGCATATATACATATATATATATATACACACATGAGTCTTATACATATAAATACACCTAAAGGCATGACTCGCCACAAGTGACTTTTTAAAACCCATTCACTACCAAATTATAACAAGACCTTAAAAATACAACAATATCAAAGGCTTATAATTTCCCTTGCAATTACGTTCTCAATTCTAAACCCTATTCAATAGCCAATAAACATCTCAGGTAGGTGGCAGAGCAGATAGAGCACTGGCCCTGCAGTTAGGTGAACTTGAGGTCAAATCCAGCCTCAGACATTTACTAGCTGTGTGACCCTGGGCATGTCACTTAATGTTGTTTGCCTCAGTTTCCTCAACTGTCAAATGAGCTGGAGAGGGAAATGGCAAACCACTCCAGTATCTCTGCCAAGAAAACCTCAAATAAATAGGGTCAAGGAGAGTTGGACAAAACTGAAACTACTTAATAAAAATGTGTCAGACTAAACCATGCTAAGTACTGGAGATACAAATAAAAACAGTTCCAGCCCTCAAGGAACTTACAGTCCAATGGGGGAAGACAACATTACAAAAGAAAGCTAAAAAAGAGAGAAGAGGCGCTGAATATGGGGGCAGGTGGATGTCAAAGAAACCCCAAATGAGCACAGCAACATTAAAGAAAGGCATTCTGGAACAAGGAAAAACTGGAAATCACTGTAGGTATGAGAAATGATTGCAAATAAAAACTCCAAATGCCAAAGCCCTAATTTCTAATCTTAAACCAAAATGTTACAATCAATGAATAATTATTAAGCTGTTATGGTGCACAAGACTCTACTAAGTGCCTCAAGATGATTTTTTAAAGATTATACATTAATCAATAACAGCTAGTGTTTGATTGTTTTCTTTGGGTCCCACTTATTTTTATCTTATAGAAAAATTTATACAAGGCATGGTTTTCCAACATTTCCCATAAATTTAAAGGAAATACATTACCTTCACAGTATAATTGAAGTACTTGGCCGTTTGCATGAATCGATGATATCCATCGGTTTCTTTGGTTGCTACAGTTATGACTAATAATTTATCTACAAATATAAAAGAAAACATCATCAGAAGGGGTACTGAGCTGCTAAGCTACATGCTTAGCATGATTTATTTCACTGTTTATTACAAATAACTATAGATCACATTGGAGTCATCAAAGGGCCATGGATTATGAATCAGACTAGGACAAAGATCAGTGTTAAACTGGAAAATGCGTTGTGAACAAAATGTTAATTGTAAATAACAGTTTAATCTAATTGTGCTACTTTGGCAAAATACATACTTTAATTTTAATAGGAGATGAGATTAAGGGGGGAAAATTGTGACATTAGTGAACTTTAAGTGAAGTCTTCTGAGTTATAGTTCAGTCCACACATAAGTCACTCTAAGAACTGAACCTGTCACCAACACTGGACAGCAACTACGCCATCAGGAACTTGCCTGCCTATGCATGAGATGTAAAATGTACATCACTTGGAGCCCAGTGTGTGTGCTCAATGCAAATTCCCTCTGCTAATGCTGACATATTATGAAAATATTTAAGTAATTGGTATACTATAAATTCATTCCTATTATGAAATTGTCACATAATACTCCTTATTCCTCAATCTTATATTACCCCTTCCTCTTACCTCTGTGCCTTTTTGTACACTGTCCTATTCCAGAAATAAAACCCCTCCTGCCATTCCCTGTCATCTCCATCTATTGACATTCTTCCATTCTTCAAATTCCTCCTTCTTCCCACCAACTCATCTACTTACTGTTCCCTAAAGTCAGTAATGTCTCTTGCCTCTACGCTTTTGATTGGCTCTCTTTAATGCCTAAAATGTCCTTCCTCTTCACTCATCCTCTTAGAATCCCAAGCTTCTTTCCAGGCTCAACTCCCCTTTTATCTATTAAAAGAACCCTTTTGTGAGTCCTCTACTTGTTGGTACTCTCACCCTCCTCAAATTATATTGGATTCACTCACCTACACACAAGCTATATCCTCTCCAAAAAAAAGAGTCTTGAGGAAATGGATTATTTTTAGTAAAGTGCCATGCATACAACAGGTGCTTAAGAAATAGTTGGTGAAGTAAGTGAATGAAACTAAGAACAAGAATGACCATATCAGCTTGGGGCCAAAGGAGCTGAGGAATGATCCATACATAGATGCCCAGATCCATATATTACGTATGTATGTATGTATGTGTGTGTATGTATTTTGTATGGAAAGACTACAGCTTGTGATAACCTCTAAGCCAATTGTACTAATACCCTAGGAGTTAAAGATTAAGTCATTAATTGGTTAAGATCTAGATTGGTAGAAGGGGTTTCCATACCTAAAATCACAGATTGATTTAATCCCCCAAACCACATACACATACAGAACTGTAACTTAACCATGTCCCTTGGCCCACTAGCACCAGAAGAAATAACCCAATGATACTACCTCTACTCTCCCTTATCTGAATTTGCCCCAGGTTCAAGAATTCCTAATTATCCCATACATAAACACACACACACACACACACACACACACACACACACACACACACACACATCCTAACCCACAAAAGATATGTGATTTTGTCAGTATAAGGAACTCCACTACAAGCACCATCTTGCTCTCTTCACCAAGGTGTATCCAAAGTGCATATCAATGAATGATTTGAAGGGTGAGTCCTGGGGAGTTGTCTGACACACAGGCAGTGAATTCCCTAGTTTATACACCCATGGTAAGTGTGACAGGAACATCTGACTAATATCTTCTTGGTTGCAGGTCCAAGAGTCTGTCCATTAAGGTACACTGTCTTTTATCTATATACACACATATTTTAACAATAATATTACATCCACTTTAAAACAGATTTTGCAGTTTGGTCTCTCACATACACTGAAGGAATAAGAAAATAAAAGTGACTCAGACATGCAAATAATACTACTAGAATATGACAAAAATAGTTTTCCTCCAAAATATAATTACTATATTTTCCACTCAAAATTTCAGGGGAAATCAATATTTTTCCATTGAACCATTTCAGAGAGCTGCACATTGAAAAAAACTCAAAAGAAAATTTATGTTTTCTTCATATATTCATGGTCAAGCCCAAAAGAAATATTCTGGAGTAATATTTTCATATGAGCATTACTCTAAAATAATGCAATTCAAAATTTGTTGAATGTAATGAGTAGTAATTAATTTTTCTTCACAAATTATGTATTTCAGGAGGAATAAAACCATTTTCTCTAGCAAAAGTAGCATCTTGTTTTGATTGGAAAGTCTGGCATTGAAAATTTCCACCCTGTAAATACAGATTGTTTCAGAGCTAGATGAATCTCTTATTGAAAATTTCCTACATCTTGGGAATCAGCTGTAACCACAGACACTGACTAGATACATTTTTACACCTACCATTTGCAGTATAAGGTTGACATTAAAGATTTCATCATAACTAAGAGATATAATAATGTTGGCTAGACAATGTTACCCAATAGAATGACTCAGGAGGCAAAGAAAAAAACTAAGCTACTCTGAGTGTCTAGAATTCTACTGCAATTAGGGGTCTTGCTTTTTTTTTTTTTGTAAACCAATAGACATGATTCTTAGGGAAAAAAAAAGAATTTTATGAAGGCTATTATTACAGTATACACTGCCATCTGTTTTCATTTATGTAGCTATTCAGCCTAATTATCATAACATGAAATGAAGCTCCCAACTTTGCATATTATCTGATAGAAAAACCCTGGTTGACATGTAATATTTAACTTACTAGGAAATCTAGTTCATAACCTTTTGTCCCCCAAAGCAAATTGATCCAAATTAATGTCTCTGACCCTGTCCTTAGATAATTCCTACCTCACTCCAGTTAGGTGACGAAAATACAAATCATTTCCAGGAGCTATAATTTCATATAATCTATAATCTTACTCTAATCTTTCAACATGAGTCATATAAAAAGAAAACAAATAATGCAAAAACATAGCTCCAGTGCAATGATAGGAATGTTTTCCTCCCTTCAAATATCTGTGGGACCTTGGGCAAGTCACTTAACCCTTTTATTGGCAAAGATACTGGAGTGGTTTGATATTTCCTTCTCCAGCTCATTTTACAGATGAGGAAACTGAGGCAAGCAGAATTAAGTGACTTGCCTAAGATCACACAGCTGGTAAGTGTCTGAGGCCACATTTGAACTCAAGTCTCTCCTGACTCCTGGTCCTGTGCTCCATCCTCTGTGCTACCTAGTCGTCCCCTTTTGGTAGCATAACAAATCTAATAAAATTCAAGATTTTCAAAAGCAAAACAACTGCTGGCATGCATGCAGGGTTCAATAGTAAGTTTGATTTTGTTGTCAAAGTCAAATCAAAATCAAATCATAACCAAAAAATGAGATTTTTTTTGGTCAATCCTTTTATATCTTTGAAAGTCAAAGTATTGGATAACCTGTGTGAAATCCATTAAGAATTTAATGAACCACTTTTCCTTTAAGAATTTGCCTGCTAATACAGCTGCCTTTGGTTCTGCCACACTGAAATAGATAGCAATGCTAAAATATAATTTTTTTTTAAAAGATCCATCTGGGATTTTATAATTTGAAGTAATGAAAATGAAATAAGAAATCTGCATGACCAGGAAGACTGGTTCAACAAGTCTGATCTGTCTTCCAAACCATAATTCAGCATATATTTGAAGACTATTATGCCTCTACTAAGTATCGCCAATTGGCTCAACTGTTCTTTATATGACAATGTCCACACCTTAAACTTCTACTCCCCAGTCCCACACATGGCCTAGAAATGAACATGCTGCTGCAAATGTTGCCCTAACAGGAATGGTAAAGTAGCATTATCATTTCCCTTTTTCTGTACACCAGATTTCTGTTAGGCCAGCTACTCTGACACTTCCATTTCCAGAGTATGTTAGGGAAGCCAATTCAGACTCCTGAATTCAGACTCTTCCTAAAGAGGATGTCCCCTGCTGAAGCACTAAATAGACTACATTGGTTCCCTACAGGATAAAAAACAAAATGCTCTGTTTGGCATTCAAAGCCCTTCAGAAGCTGGTACCCTCCTACCTTTCCCATTTTCTTACACTTTCCTCCTCAAGCTGTATTCTTCGATCCAGTGACTCTGGCCTTCTGGCTGTTCTATGAACAAGACCACCCATCTCACAGCTCCAGGCATTTTTTTCTAGCTGTCCTCCATGCCTGGAATTCCTTCCCCCCTCAACTCTACCTACTGACTTCCCAAGCTTCCTGTAAGTCCCAATTAAAATCCCATCTTTTATGGGAAGCCTTTTCTAACCCCTTTTAATTCTGATTCTTAATTCTAGTGCCTTCTCTCTATTATGCCCTACTTTTCCTACATATACCTTGCTTTGCATATATTTGTTTGCATGCTGTCTCCCATATTAGACTGTAAGTTCCTTGAGGGCAGGAACAAACTTTTGCCTCTTTTTGTATCCCTGTGCTTAGCACAGTCACTGACATATAGAAGTTGCTTAATAAATGTTTGATTATTGATTGACCCAACCCATCACCAAGCCATCTACAGCAAAGTTGCTTCATAGGAAGCATAGAAGTGCAGTCACTCTAGACCATGGGAGTTTCTAGACTTGTTCTTTAACAGGAAATCCATAGAATATGACCACACTACAAATAAAACAAACATTTATCAAGCACATGGAATGTACAGAACACTATGCTGAGAGATACAACATTGAAATAAAACATCGCCTCTTCCCTCAAGGAGTTTATAGTTTAACAATGCCCGTAAGGCCTGAAGTCAACATTCTACATCTGCCTCTTTTATTGGATTATCCCACTTCCTATATATCTTGAGTCAGCTATAAAGAACAAGGAAAACTGTCAGGGCAGGGGGAGAGAATTGTTACTAAGCATTTGAAGGACTCTCATGGAGAAGAAAGTTTAGATTTTTTTGTCTTAGCCCCAAAGCACAGAAAAACACCACCAAATACCATGCCTGGGAGGAGCTAAGCCACAGAGTTCTGTGCTCTTTGTGAGATGATGTATCTTCATCTTAAATTTACCTCCTGGCTGAT